ACGATACCAACCACAAACTCCTATAAATCATCGAACTTGTTTCTTGGCTGCGGCCAATTTACAATGCAAGCTTTTTTGTCCGGATCTGTGCAAATACCTCTGCTACCGATCACGCAACCAAGATAATTGATACTGGTTACACAAAATAGACTTTTGGATATATTTAAAGTCATGTTGCCTTTTCTAAATTGCTCAGCGATACGAACCAATACAGCCAGATGCGAACTGAAATCTTCTGAAACAATACAGGTGGAATTATCTCGTCCATTAACCGACACATGGCGGGAGGTGCGTTACAAAGGCCAAAGGGCATGACCTTAAACTGATATAGCGGACTTCCGGGACCGTAAAAGCCGTGAGAGGCCTCGAATCCTCGGGAAGTTCAATCTGCCAATAGGCGTCTTTAAAATCTAGTTTTGAAATTATGTTTGCCTTAGATAGTCACGAAAAAAGTGGCGTCATTTAGACTTCGAGCATCGAGATAAAGGCGAAGCTTGTTGGGCTTAAGAACAAGTCGCTTAGGCGAGCTCCAGGAGCTTGCTCATAACTACAAACTGCAGCATGCGATCAATTTCTGCAAATAGCAATGTTTCTACTGCCGGACTTACAGGGTAAAATCTTTGTGTCACTGGACGTGCGTCTCCTATATCTATATGATGTTGGATTAATGTTGTGCGACCTGATCTATCAGCAGCGTTTTGCATTCGCTGGCTTTATATAAGGGGTATATATTCGACTTTGTTTCTTGCTCTTTTCCAATTGATTTTAGCTCTACTGAATTTATGATGCTTGGCGCAAGCGCAAAGGCTCACCAAAAATCATGTCACAAAATTAAATTTCAGTTTATAGACGGAATCACATATAGTTTCAAGGGCTTGGTAGCTGATTTATACTGCATAATAACTTCAATCATTCCGATGACGTTTTGACTGTGCCCATCTGCTGTTCTGACATGTGATTCAATAGGCTTAAATTCCGGCATTGCGGTAAAATCTCGTTGCGTAAGCGTAGAACCTATGCAGCTAATATTCGCGCCTGTGTCCAATAGGGCAAGCTCAGTACAAGTTAAAAACGACACTTCGGCATAGCTGCGCATATCCGTGGGATCACAAAAAACTGTCGAAACTATAAGTTTGCTATACTGCTTGATTTTTGCAAAGGAATTTTTCAAGATACTGGGTTTTTCTTCACTAAAAATCTTATTTGGAGCTTGCAAATAAGTAGCTAACCGTTCATGATACGATAAAAATGGTTAATTACATTTATATTTAAAATGTTGGGTGCCCCGCATCCATAACAGAAGATACGACGGTCAGCAAGGCAATTTTTCCACATGTGCCCTTGCTCTTCGCAGTTCCAACATTTAAATTTGGCATGACTACGAATGACTCTTCTAGTCCATATACTTGGCAACGGGGAGCTATTGGCCGGGATTTATTCATACCATCAGTATGACAACTGAGGTCTTGAAATAAATTCTCGTACATCTGGAACAATCCTCGTAGATGCCCAACTGAACTTATTATAGAAGTTTATGTCGTCTTTCTGGTATTAAATTATTTTTTTAGGTATTCAATTAACTCCGTCTCATCTATTTTGATTGTAAATTTATCGATCAGTGAAGCTACTGCGTCATAGAACGACACAAAAGATTCCCCAGGCTTTTCCTTTCTAGCTCTGACCAATTCTTTGCTCATAAAATCGGAGCGATAATCTTTGTACTGATGGCGAAGTGCAGTACAGAACTCATTCCAAACAATGTGGTCTACCTGTTTGTGGTACCGCCAGTACCAGTCACGGGCTATGTCTAAAAATAGCACATGTAAATGCTTACAGAGACCCATAAAGTCCCTGTATAAAGTCTCATCAGTCAAGGTTTTGACTCTATATATAAATTCTTCAACTCCTAATCCTTCTGTTGACCCATCAAAGTGAAGATTCCATTTTTGCAGTCAGTAATTTTTTCATATTGGATAATGAGCCACTCGGCGACGCCGGGATCGAGGTTGGTATCACTCTGGGAAGGGGTGGCGATTATACTTGCAATGATGACATAACGCGAGTAATCGATTGTTCGATCATATCCTGAATTCTTCTATAGTCCACGCCCTGATTTTGGTGGGACTTAGTGGGTCTTCCTCTTCTTCTTACACCAGGATCTGGTCGTGCAGGAGCGGTTTCAGTTGGATTCGTGCAATTGCTAGCGTCGAGTCCCGATAGTGGTTCATCACAAACATCTAATAATCTTTCTAGATGTTGCTAGACTGCGTGTAACCGTTCTCCCTATGTTCGTAGACGTAAGCGGAGCAAATTGTTCTCCTCTCGGCGAGCAATCTCCAACAACTAATTAAATTGAGGCTGGATCAAGCACAGCACTACAACTGGGACATTAAGCATGGTTTACTAATCAAGCTTCCTAGCAAAGTTTGTGGAAAAAATGCCTGCAAACGGTGCAATAGCAAAATTGTGTATTGTCCATTACTAACTGGCATATAACACAATGGTTATCAGCTGTCCCTGAAGACAGCTGTACATTTTGAGGGCTGCGTTAAGACAATATGAGTCATTAATATTTTCCAGATTTGTGACATTGGTTTGGTAACATAATAAAGTATAGGTGATTTTATTTTTTTTTTTATTTTTATATTTTTACGAAATAAAAGCGCCGTAATGAAAGTAGGTAATTTATATGGTTTATTGAAACTACTATAGAAAGCCGTTTGCAAAATTTAAAAATTTAATCTAGTCTGAACTGTTTGGCAAGGATTTGCAAAGCAGTATAGTTCCAGGCAACACCCTAACTATCCTAGTATCATTAATACAATATCATTCAATCTAAACTTTATGACTTTTGTTTCCACGAAGACTAAGATTCAGTTAACCATCAACGAGCTATCAAAGTGGCAATCAGTTCTGGTATCTTATCAAAATATTCAGTATTCTAAAATTGCATTTGAAAGAATTTCTACCTAAGCAAACTTAATCTATTGTGTCTCTAAAATCAGAAGAAGAAAACGAGCAAAGGTATGGGATCGATTGTATAGCTGGTGATAATAACTATAGTCGTATTTATATAGGCAACAAAATAGAAAGGACAGATTCTCGGCATAATTCAAGCTCTGAATATGAAGCATCGTAGACCTTATTACTATCTTGTACACCATATCTGCGCATGCGGAAGATAGACTAAGCCGGTCATATCGACGTCAGCGTGCTTGAGACAATTATATAAAAACTCACTTTACTCTCGCGTTCGCCATCCTCCCAGCCATGATCTTCACCGTTAAAGGTTTTGAAGATCCCAAAAAAAATATTTTTCTAAGGCATTATGTCACCAGGAAAGAAACAAATTTAGCAATTCATATTCAAAACGTAGTCAACAATTAATATTTATTATCAACAAAAGCAATATACAATGGCATTTTAACGGTAAATTGAAATAACCTGCATCTTAGTACAAGTGGCATTAAAAATGTTGAATTCAGCAATAATTCATTAAACAAAACTAGACAGTAAATATATTTATAGTTTTCTCAAAACTCTTCAGAAATCCTAAAATTTCGCTACAAGGCAAGTGCTAGGCTCGCAAAAAATGTCATTATTAAGTATAATTTAGTTGCAAAGGAAAAATAATTTACTATTTTAAATTCATTGTAATTCATAATTGTATGGTCGGTACAAAGTTAGGCAACAGAAATGCATGTGCAAATCTGAGCGAAGCTCAACCAGCTGATCAGTCACTACAAATATACATATGTATTTACACATATTTGAATCTGTTAAAAATCTTTTTTTATTTCCTTATGTTCCTTTTGTATTAGCTAGTATTTTAGCGGTGTATAGTAAGAATAAAATGTGATAGGCATTCACCAGACTGACACGGACTATAAACTTATAGATTTGAGCTGAGGCGTACTGTAAAACAGAAGGTCATAAAACGCTCAGTAGGTGGTGGATACTCTCCAACACACTAATTCAGAATATAAAATCCTCAAAAAAAAATATATTAAAAAAATCACAAATTACTTTGCACTCTACACCAACCAAAATGGGGATTATACGAGTATTTAAATTTACTCGTTTTTTTTTTTTCTTTCTCTAGATTTCTCTTTGCAAAAGATTTCATTAATTATATTACTGCTAAGGGCTTTAAAGTTTAAACGATGTATATTCCAGGCTTATCCATCTATTCGCTCCGGACAACTTAATGGGCGAGGTCTTCTGTGAAAATCTACTCTGTCTTGCGGATTTCGGCATGGGGAAGCGGTGCCTGCCCTTTTTTGTTGGCGTGAGTCAAGGAATGGCAGCTGATCTACAGTTGAACAGACGTTTATTCAGTGGGGTCAGAAATTACAGTTTCTAAAAAATTAGAGGGCAGTCAAAGATGAAGGCGGCAAGATTGATTGCCACCAAATGAAATTTTTCCTGTAAAAGTGTAAAGGTTGTAGTGTCCACGTGTATACGGGGGGCAGTCGATGCTGCCTTTTACATGGAGTGTCCACGTCCATTTGTAACCCTCTAGGGCGTTTTCGCCCTTAGTGGCTTACGTTGGTCGCGGGGCATTGGGTTCGGGGCGCGTACTTCTTGCTTTTGCTCAATTTAGCTCGTCGTGGTCGGGGTTCTTCCTCGCCCAATCTGCCTATCAACACCAATACACTGACATGAAGAATATCAAGTACGCTTCAAAAAAACAAGATCAAATACTATCATAAAATTTAACTTTATTTCCCTATCCTGTAAATAAGTGTTCCGACAAACACCACAAAACTCGGGATCCAATATGCCTAATGGAGGGATCTTGGTGTTAGTTGTCCCTCGTCTCTACCCTCCCTACCATAGCAACCAGAAAATCGTAGATTGCCCCTATGCGAGACTCTAACGCATTAACGCATTTCAACAGAATTCAGCATGGTACTCGACAGACAAGATAATTATTAACCGAGTCATATTAGAATATAACAAAATCATTTAATTGAAGCAAGCCGTTGATCTCAAGATACATGGTTATATTACAAGCGAATTATCAATTCCCTAAGATTTACCGAAACATTCAAATTCGAATTCATGATTTTACAAAATAATAATATACTGATTTTTGTTCAACAAAATAACTTCAGATTTCCAACATAACTTACTGATCAAAACTGTTATCTTACGCTCACGTTGGCAATAGGTTCGAGATCAATGCAATGTCAATCGTAAATATATATATATACAACAGATATACAAAAAAAAATAGTCCTCACTACTCTATATTAACTCACTCATACTTCCATCGTTGCGTGCACTTGGGCCCAATATGACGTCGATGTTGGTGGGTGTGTGTAGGTGTATTATTGTATGGGTATCATTGTTGCCTTTGTACAAAGAAAGTTAATTGTAAGTATATATATAAATATTGACGTGCATATAAATGTCACAACCTTACCCTTGCCAAATATATTCATAGGTCAAAAGGAATATTACTACTGCTGCTTAACTCTAATATCTATCGACTAATTTTTAATTCAATATAATACATTTTGTTCCATGTTTGTTTAGTTGCTTAAATTTACTTTAGCTTCGATCAATGGGAATAGATTAGGTAGACATCCGCTGATCGCAATGTCAAAGATTTAAGCTTAATGTGATGTATGTATGGATGCGTGCTTCGAATTTCGTTCAGATGGCTTCTGTTTTACTAATTGTAGTTGCTTTTATCTTTCAGCTTGTTCGTGCGCTTTACTCTTTGTCAATTCTAATTCTCATTCGCTCAATAAGAGCGACGAAGGTAGCACAAAGGAGAATAAATAATCAATTACACTACGCAACACAGATTTAAAGTCATAATTTCTTGTGGATCTGAATAAACTTGTGACTTTGGTATCCATTTATATAAGTCACTTAACGCCAGACACATTTGATGATCATCAACGAGCAGTCTCGAATGTGGCACTGGAGCACGGTTCCGAAATCTCCTTGGAGTAAATTTACTACCCTTGTCTCCGCGCCAATATATATGCACCAAGAGATTGGTGAAAATCGGACCAGCGCTTGCGGCAGCACCCCTGCCACGAGGCTGTAAAATTAAACAAGGGTCAAACACCAATCCATTGATACCAGGCTAATATAAAATCACCTGTTTCAATATCTTTCACTACTTAGATTTTACAATACTTTTCCACTTGCACGTCTGCTTCAATACGCTTTCTATTATTTTTATTACTTATTTTAACTTTAGACTTCGTTTTTCACTGTTTAATCTTCTTGACGAAGTACGTCTTTTCGCTTCCAATCTGAACTGAAGACTGTCGCACGCGGTCGCCCGCTCCTTTTAAAGACCTAACTGTAACGGTGATAAAAGCTTTCGCGATCGCTCCTCAGTTTAACTGCATTATCGTATGATCTGCCTACGTGCCAAATCAGCCATCAAAAGGAATATGGAAAAGTGTGTGAGCTAAGTGCGAGGGTAGCACATAAAGTTTCTAACAATCAAGAAATGTTCCCACTCGGCTACTACAAGGTCGGTCAGGTGCTCCCGGGCCTCGTGGCGTAACGAACGTTTTTTTCACCAATCGACCATTTTTAGGATTTTGTTTTTAGTTTAATTGATTTCATACGACTGATGCCCGAATTTATTTTAGTTTTGACGACTGATGCCCGAATCTATTTTGGTTTCAATTAAACTTGTGGTGGGGCTGTGTCCGAACCGCCGTAGCCAGACAATCGGTTGTAAAATTATTTTTTCAAAGAGGGTTATAACAACATACAAAAACAATCTGTTAGGATCGATTAAGCGAAAAACACAAAAACCGAATAACAGACTAGTTACTATTCTAAAACTGTATAGCCGATCAGAAAAATTGATGAGAATTTTCTAAAGGAGTTATCAAAGGCTAGAAATGTTTTAAAAAAACGAATTTCAAACTATTAAATGATGATTTTATTGATGCTAATGCGAGATTCAATAAAACTGATGAGTATGATGATGCGGATGATGATGATATTAATGATAATACAGTTAATCAACTCTACTTTCAATCTAATGTTGGAGTTAAAAATATATCTAAGTGAATTAGCTAGGAAAAAGATTATTGATAAAGTCTATTGATCATATTAAGATTTAAATGGTAAATTGAGGTTAGGAAATTCCGAAATTCATATATCAGAAGAAAAATGTATTCTAGTGAAACATGGGATATTACCACAGGCTTATATTTTTTAATTTATGAAAATACTCCACAGAATTATAGCGACCTAGACCTACAAAATTATTATATGAAGATATTTTAACGAAAACTTCTGATCACAGAAAACATAACAAACCTGATGGACAACGTAAAGGAAATCATTCAACAAAATATTTAACTATAATTAAACATATTTTTCCAAAATTATCTCAAAAATTTCTTTTTCATAAATCAGTACTATTTGCCATATCAACTCCAAATCAATCAAAATCATCTATAGCCGGTAGTGGTCTAATGAAGCTCAATACAAATAAACCAAACGATTAAAGCTTCTAATCGCCTCACAAACATCTGGTCATAGTAATCATAACAATGAGATAATTTCAATAGTTGAAGAACTTCGGAAAGCAAAAGTTATCAAATAAATTTATAAAAGGGAAAAATATTTGTATTTAACTGTCATTATTAAAATGAGTATCGACAAGTTTGGTCATTACTCCTCAACTAAAAAGAGAGATACTGATGATAATAACATTTATTTTCAAAATATATTGTACAAATCAACAGAGGATTTGGAGCTTCTCATACATAAAAAGTTGGTGCAGTAAATAAATCTACAAACGAATGTTTTAATAAACTTAACACAGAAATTCCAATACTGAGAAGCGATATTAATTTATATAATAATACGATTTTTGGAAAACTTAAAGAAAATAATATTAGTTATTAGAAAATCTTGCTAGAATTAAAACATTACTTGTATACGTACATTAATAGTGAAAATAATGAATTGAGAGAACATCTTATAAGTGAAAATGTTAAATTAAAGAGTATAAATACAATTAGCTTTAATGAACTTAAGACGTTGTGACGCAGGATCACAATGGATATAAAATAAATTATATTATCTGAAATTTGAATACTAGAAAAGTAGACATGGAATTAACTTACTAATTTTATTTCCATTAAGGTAAGAAAACGAAATGAATATAGGAAGTCGATTATAGTTTAGATCTAATTATAAACAACTCTGACTCCTAAAATGGAGGAGCAGACGAGAGAACAACCCAAAGAAAGAGAGTTTTCGCCGCACGGCGAAAAGGGGCATAAGATGCTGAGGTTGATCAGCGACGTCAGTTTGATTTCGGCAAGCGTGAGTATCGGACGTGTGAACACAACGACAGAAGGGAGACTTAGCGAAACCGCGAGGCAGCAGTGAAGTTAGGGAAAGGTAATCATAAACTGACGGTGCATCAGGGCCAAAGAATTCAACAAAATAAATAGGAGCAAGTATACTTGAAGTGCTTTGGGGCTTATATTCTTTTGTCAACAATTAGACGATCGCGGCCGAATAGGAATTGCTTATTTTCAGCCCCTCATTCTGCGGCTTAGCGATCCCTGCAGCCATCACGCTGATCAACCATAACACTAGCCGCGCCGGAGAGATCCCAGCGATTCCCCTCCCCTTTCCCATAAGAATAATCACTCTTTGGTGGAGCGATCCCTACAGCTCTCTACCCCCCTTTCAGCATCGCGTTTCGGCAAACTACATATTTCTTGTAGAGTGGACTTGGTGAGATTGAGTTTTATAACCCCGGCTAGAATACCACTTTACAATTTACAACACGAGGGGTGAAGGGGCGTGGCATTAAAGGTGCCTAAAGACCCATGAAAGTGCCGCCAGAGTGAATTTAGGGCCAAAAAAGCAGCGCTTAGTGAAAAGTAAGCAGCATAGAAAAGGGAAGCAGTAGAGTCCAACTGGAGTGTCGGCGACCGATGCACACATGCAGTTAGGCAAGCGGCGCGACAACAGGCGGACAGATAGTAAAGCAGAGGCCCAAAAATAGCGGACAGAAACGGATAAATGTTTCTCGCTGAGCGAGCGAAGCGCGCTAGTGTGAGCAGAGCGTGCGCTCACACACCAACACACGCACAAGCGCGTGTCTAGAGTAGGCAGAGCGTGTGCAAACGGCATAGCGGCCAAAGCCCGTCGCGGGGCAAATCGTTCGGTTCGCATCGAAATTGCGCTGTGTGTGAGCGCGACGAGAGAGTGTAAAAAAACAAGACGAATTCGATCCAAACTCAACATTAACATTATACATTATAATTTGCTTAGCTGCATCGTTAAGATAGTTGCCTGAAATTTTCTTTTCGCTGCAATAAGAGCTAATTTTGTATGAAATTAATTACGTCAAGTGCATCTAACTTAACAGCCTTTTGCACTTAAGCGCCTCCTATCGGCAGTTAAGTTAACTGCAGTAAGTAAGTTAACTGCGACATCTATTATCAGGTGTGTTGATTTTTGATTTTTTTTTTCTTATGTATACAATATGAATATTGAAATTGAATAAAGTGTAATTAATACATAAAGTTAATAAAAACTATTAAATTAATTTATAAACTTAGTACTGTTAAATAGAATTCAGTACAACTTTAAAACAAAAGGTTCTTGTCGGGAGTCCCCGACTAGGGGATACCTGACCCTCTTATTCCAACACCAACGCGCTCGTTCGCTTTAATAGTTATGAAGATAAATTTAAAAAAAAATGTTCCCTTCGCAGGTTTCGGACTCGCAACTGACCGCACTACTTGCTGCCGACTCTATTCAACAGAAAAAAAATTAATGAGGTTAACTGCCTTTTTAGGATAGCTGACTTGCGTCGCCGGTTAGCAAGCTTCGTTTTCGGGGGTTCACACTCGGCCAAAATATGGGCTCGGCTAGCCGAGTTGGAGGCCAAATACACACGAACCGCGGAGCATTAGGCCCAGCCCGAACCCGACTCAATTGAATGGAATAAGCGGTCGAAATCCAAATCGGATCCATGTCTGAGCACCCCCGGCCTGCTCGAGGTTCCGCCGACCCCGAGGTACAGGGCAAGTGATGCAGGCGATAAAATGATAGAGTTGTGAACGTCTCGTGTCGCGAAAGCGTCCCGCTAGGAAGTGGGGGATATGGTTCGATGGGCAGGCAGATCCATTGTCCTTCGTGAAAGCCATCCAGGATCGTGCCCTGTACTATGATATCGACGTAGATAGACTACCGAGGTCATGATCGGCGAGGACATTGGCACATCACAAGTGGGCTAAGGGAATGTGGGTTTAACCCAAAATCATATACTCCCTATAATTATTATTTTTAAATTTTCATATTAAATAATTTGGTGTATTACCTCAATTATATTAATTTTAATTTTATTAAATGGTTTATACCTTGAATGAATGAATTAATTAATTAATTTTTTTTTTTTTTCAATCACAATTAATATTTTAATTTAATAATAATAATAATAATAATAATAATAATAATAATAATAATAATAATAATGGTGATAATAACTATAGTCGTATTTATATAGGCAACAAAATAGAAAGGACAGATTCTCGGCATAATTCAAGCTCTGAATATGAAGCATCGTAGACCTTATTACTATCTTGTACACCATATCTGCGCATGCGGAAGATAGACTAATCGACGTCATATCGACGTCAGCGTGCTTGAGACAATTATATAAAAACTCACTTTACTCTCGCGTTCGCCATCCTCCCAGCCATGATCTTCACCGTTAAAGGTTTTGAAGATCCCAAAAAATATATTTTTCTAAGGCATTATGTCACCAGGAAAGAAACAAATTTAGCAATTCATATTCAAAACGTAGTCAACAATTAATATTTATTATCAACAAAAGCAATATACAATGGCATTTTAACGGTAAATTGAAATAACCTGCATCTTAGTACAAGTGGCATTAAAAATGTTTAATTCAGCAATAATTCATTAAACAAAACTAGACAGTAAATATATTTATAGTTTTCTCAAAACTCTTCAGAAATCCTAAAATTTCGCTACAAGGCAAGTGCTAGGCTCGCAAAAAATGTCATTATTAAGTATAATTTAGTTGCAAAGGAAAAATAATTTACTATTTTAAATTCATTGTAATTCATAATTGTATGGTCGGTACAAAGTTAGGCAACAGAAATGCATGTGCAAATCTGAGCGAAGCTCAACCAGCTGATCAGTCACTACAAATATACATATGTATTTACACATATTTGAATCTGTTATAAATCTTTTTTTATTTCGTTATGTTCCTTTTGTATTAGCTAGTATTTTAGCGGTGTATAGTAAGAATAAAATGTGATAGGC